CAAACATATTTATCATCTTGCAGCATTCCGTGTATTGTCAGTGTTGACAAACTTTTCGCCAAATTAAGTTCCCATACATACTAGACAATAAAACGATATTTGAAAAAAATGTGATTGTCGTTTAACTGTCTCACCCCAAGTAAGGCGATAATACGACTAGAACGCAGAGGACCACAGGGTGTGAAAGTGAAAGAGAATGAGAGGAGGGGATTGAGAAAAGGACCGAAAAGTGAACAGGGTTCAAGAAGAAAGAAGATGGCGATTTACATTGCATTTAAATTTTTGAAGATTGTGGTTATCAGAGAAACAAGAAATCGGGAGGGAGTTCCACGGGTAGAAAGTGCGAGAAATAAAAACCCTACTAGACAAAAAATGAAACAGTGAAACCAATTTGCCCGTCTAGTAGCGCGTTCAATTCATGTAGTCGGAGAAATAGGGAAAAATTCATTATGAAAATATTTGTAGAATAGATAAAAGGATGCCATATGACGTCGGTGAGAAACTGATTGATCAAGATCGATTACATTACAGAACCTTATATTGGATTTTCTGGTATTACCACAGTGAACCAACTTTATTGACAGCAGACGTATCAGTTGATTCGGTATAGTCGCTTTCCTTCAAGTAAGCGGGAAACGAGAGGCCAAGAAAGTATCGAGTGTTTCTTTTCTGGAGTGTAGCATAGGCCATACTAATGGCAAGTAGAAACAAGTTCTTTGTGGTGGTTAAATGAAAGCAGATTTGTGTCGAGAAAACAGTTTTGTTTTGGGATATACACGAAGAATATAAATCATGGTGTCTTTTATCAATTAATTATTAAAATAGGCCAATATTTTATAGTGAAGAAAAAACCAATTCATGTAATGGGTGATGTGAAATGAAATATCGTTGCTCTCTAGGGTAGAAGATCTTTATTAGCTAACATAATACAAGAAGATATTTATTAAGCCTAGTTTAAGTTCTCCATTATTATGTTCTTCCAATGAGAATTAAACACACTGCCATTAATCTGCTAGTGTACCATTATACAGTGTAACCCGGATATAAGAGACCCGGATATAAGAGAAACCCAGATATAAGAGAGATTTTCTCTGGTCCCAAATTAGAACCTGTGTTAATGTATTTAAATTAGACCAAACCTGGATATAAGAGAAACCCGGATATAAGAGACTTCTTCTCCGGTCCCGACAACTCTCTTATATCCGGGTTACACTATAACATGCTCTTTGAAAAGAGCATTAGACAACTTATTGAGCTTCTAATTTGACTAAGCTATAGATTTTAAGTTACTTTTAGTCATTTTTTCCTGGACCAGTATCATTTAAGAATGTCTTCACAACTATTCGCGTTTAAAAAACTTAGGGTTTTTTTTTCAGATAATATAATTAAAGGCAAATAGGCGTTTCAATTTATTCTTGTAATCCACAAAATGGAACCTTCACGAATCTTGAACCTGTTAATTATTAATCCTTACGTAGGTGTAAATAATTTCTTGAATATAATCAGAGAAAATCCGAAATAAAATATCGCATTTTATATTTGACTTGTTTTGTTTTTAAATCATTTCGTTTTGATAAGATATTTTTTTGTTTTCTGAATAATATTTTATAAAAACTTTCTAGTTATTTTTATCTTTTGTCATTTTTTAAATTGAAATATCGACATAACCCAACTTGTTGCTTTATCTTTCTATTTTTGGTTTGGTTTGATTTGATTTGGCTTGGTTTATTTTACGGCATATCAACTTCAATGGCTTATTTAATGCTGACAAGATTTTTATTGCTGCTAACAATTTTTTCTAAAATCTATTGCTGATAATATTTTTCTTTTTCAAAAATATACTGCTGGTAATCATTTTTTTCAGAAATGTATTGCTAGTAATATTTTTTCAAAAATGCATTGCTCGTAATATTTTTTTTAAAATGTATTGCTGGTAATAATGCATTCCTGTTAATAATTTTCCCTTCAAAAATATATTGCTGGTATTTTTTTCCAAAAAGTATTGCTGGAAAAATGTTGTTTCCAAAAATGCATTGCTGGTATTAAAACCTATTTATACACTTTCATAGTGGGGTTCAATTACTTGTCCATAGCTGATACCCTAACAGGCTACAATCACCCTGTCCAAATCTAATTGCAGCGTGGACCTGGGAACACAATCAATTAAGAGGAGGTTCACGCTTCTCAAAACTTCTTGATCAGAGGCCTTGCTGTTGGATGTAGTTTATCGTTTTACCCAGGACACCTTTCTTTTTTGCTCCCTCATGTTTGCAACAACTCGTTTCGAGGTTGCAGTTGGAAAATATCACGGGCAGCATATTCAATCAGTTCCTGATTCTCCCCAGGGACATAACAAGTTGATCCAATCTGATTTTTTTCTCTCTTAAAGCAAAATTCTTGTTTTTTAAGTTAAACACTTTTATTTTATTAGATTTTAATAAATAGCCCAAAATGGAACTGTGGCATAATTAACTGAATAATTAGAGATTCATGAGTGTACACTTCATCGGAAGGAAAGATATTGATTACCTCCCCTTGAATTCACTCTTCAGTTCATCTCTAAATTTTGAATATCACAACAATATAAAGAATATTTTAAAAGGAGCAAAATAGACGACTTATGAATATTACGATACAAATTTGTCTTTTTATTTCTGTTTCTTTTTTTTTTATTCGCTTTATTTGTTTAATAAAACTTCGACATAGAAACGAGCTTAGAAAATAAAATCCAATCCTTTTGCTTCAATAGGTCATTTCTTCTTAGCTTACATTCAAATATAAAATAAAGTTAATTAAATTCGTTTATTTGTTAATTTCTTCGTATCGTTTTTATTTTGTTTAATAAAGATTGATGACCACGGATAGAAAAAAAATGTTAGACCTTCTTTCCTTTACTGATCTCTTTATTTCTATCCCTTCTTTTTTTTAATTATTAGTAAAGATTGAATATCAGAGACAGAAAAAGAAAACGAAAGAAGGATTTGGAAGTAGAGTATTTTTCCTTCTTTCTTTCTTCAATGTTTTCTTTTCTGCTTTACTTCTTCCCGTTGTTTTCCCTCTCCGTTCTTTCCTTCATATCATCCTTTCTTTTTCTTTCTTTTTTTTCTATTTTTTCTTTCTTTTTTTTCTATTTTTTCTTTCTTTTTTCTTTCTTTTTCCTTCCTCATTGCTTTTCAACTTTCCTTATTTGCATTCATTCTTTTGCAACATTCCTTCCTTTCTTCCTTCCTTCCTTCCTTTCATTATTTCTCTACTTGCATTCCTTCCATCTATCCTTCCTTCCCCTTTTTGCTGTCTTATATTCATTTATTCTTTCTGGTCCTTCTTTTCAGAATTTCCTACATTTCGTTCTTGATTTCTCTTTATTTCCTACTCTCTTTCAGTCATGCCTTCATATCTTTCTTTTCTATCCTTTCTTTCTTTTTTGCTTGCTTGCTTTCTTTCTAATTTCCTTCTTTCTTTTCCTTCTTCCTTTCTTTCCACCTTTCTTCCTTTTCTTTCCTTTTCATATTTTCTTTCTTTCTTTTTATTTTCTTCTTTTCATACTTTTTCTTCGTTTTGTTTTCTTTTTTCTTTCCTTTTCCGTTTTCTTTCATTCCTACCTTTCCTTTTTTACATTCCTTCCTCATTACTTTCCTTTCTTACCTAGTTTCCTTTCATTTTCGACTTAGTTTCTTTCTAGATTTTTCATTTCTTTCATACTTCCCCGATTTATTTATTTCATTTCATTCTTAACTTTCTTATTTTATTTCTTTTCTTTCCTTCCTTACTTTTCTTCGTTTCCTACAATTCTTCCTTTGTTATTTTTCTTTCTTTCTTTCTTTACTTTCTTCCTTCCTTTTTCCACGACAGAATTTGAAGGTCTCCGTCCTTTCTTTGAATATTTTATTCACTTGCGCATGCGCCGATTTGGTTTTTAGTTTCATTCTTTTTGCATTTGTGACTTTCTTTTGAATTCCAATATGTCTTTTTGTTTTTAAATCACGGGCTAATTTTTAATTGTATTCAATTCGTTAATGTCTTATTTTATATATTCATTTTAAACCCTGACTTTTTAGCTTTTAGTTACCGTTTTTGATTTCCACGTACATGTACGATTTTAATTAATCATTCCCTTCTTTTGATTCTTTGTCAATTTTCTTTCTTTGATTACTTTTATTTCTCTATTTTCTCTTAATATTCACAAGAAAATATTTCTGAAATAGTAATTAAAATCGAACAGAATCAATTAAATAACAAAACAAAAAGAATAAACAGGAACGGGAAAGTGATTTTTCTCAACAAAAAAGTCACATTTCTAATAAAAATTTTGTTGGAGAATCTGGTTTTGTAAATTTGTCGTATTGGTTTTGAAGCAATCTCAAATATATGTCATAGCCTAATTAGGCAATAAGAACAAATTCATATATTAAAACAATCTGCTTCTTTGTCAATGCACTTAGTTCAGTACTGAATATTAACGTTATATACTGAAAATTAAAAAGTGTGTATTTTACCAGTATTGTTCTTATGAAATAAAGCTCTTTTATAAAAATAAGGTAATTGTGATAACTGTCATGTAGTTGCAATACAAACATTTTGTTATCACTTAGAAAAGGATGTTTCATTTGGACTTTTACCAGACATATCTGGAATTCCTATTTCAACTGCATTGTCTGCTAAACAAAACATTTTATTTCAGGCCTAAATTCTGTCATTGAGATTCGTTAATGGCGTTTTCTGCAACTGGACATTGGCTTTGCTTATGTGGCTGATTGATTTGCTTTTTTTTACGGTTTATCAAACTTTTGAGGGTTATTCAAAGCCAGGCATTTTTTTTACATTGAAACAATTTGGGAAATAATTATGAGTTTCTGATATAGTTTACTAATTAACCTATAGAAAGGGGAGAAGTGTTGGGTTTACAACTTTACGTAAGTGAATATAAATTCGAATTGGAACTGGGCTCTCCGATTTCCAGTTGCGAGCCGTTATCCATTGCAACACACGCACATCTAACCTTACAGCACCTGGTATTCACAAGCAGTCACCTATCTAGGCACTGACTAGGCTTGACGTTGCTTAACTTCGGTGATCGTACAAGAACCGGTGTTTCAACGTGAATTGGCCGTA